AAAAAAAAAAAAAAAAAAAAAACAACAAAACAAAACCAAAAAACAGTATGATTGGGAAAGAGTTCTGTGAAAGTATGAGATTACTGTCAGATGTGTTCATGATCCCCAGATACTGTATCTTTCTTCAGGGTTATAGTAGCCCCTAGAGGGAAACCTAGAAAAGGCTTTTATTTACCTTGGGGTCCACATGGCTTTGACATGGTACTGACTTTTAATTACAGGATTTGAGAAGGATACAGTGCATCAGTGTCGGTTAGGTGTTGCTTTTCAGTTGGGCATATTAGAGCTGATTTGATCTGTATCAGACTTGGCCTCTTGACCATCTACTTCTCCTTCACCCCTTCCCTTAAAAAACAAACACCCCCCTCAGCTACAATAAATATTACGTGCTCTCCGAATCAGCTGTCCTTCGACCTCAGCCTTGTTTTGTAGGCCACAGCATAACAACCCCGAAACCTTCTGATTGCAAGAGCTGGTTGGCTTTCAAGACTTGTCTGTTTCTGTGGCCTCTTTATTCAGGCTTCTAGCTCCAACCCTATTTCTTTGGGAGCAGGGGCTCCCATGTAAGGCTGAGTGACACAGGGCCCGAGAGGAGATCGTTCAGTAGCACAGAAGGGCCTGAGAACAGGAGGACTGGGCTGGTGGGAGGGAAATCGGTGTTCCTGGGCCAGATGGTACAGATCAGCTTCTGTGAGCCTTCTAGCCTGTGGTTCCAGAGTCTGAAAAAGCCTACACTTCTTGGCCCTTCCTCCTAACTCCCTCTTGGCACTGTGGCTGTTCTCCAGCCTCCTTCCCATTAGCACTTGCAATGCTGGCTTTTGGTGGAGCCATGTGGTCCTTCGGGAAGGAGCCTAAGGGTGGGAGAAGCGAGACTCGAGTTCTTTTCCCATCTCTGCCATTGTAGTTGTTCAGCCAGAGACCGTATCTTTTTGATCTTTGCTCTCTTCCCCATGTCCATACTTTATTTAGTAAAGAGTGATAGGGGCTTCATAATGTTAACACACACACACACACACACACACACACACACACACACACACACACGATAGGGAATATGCCAACCTCATAGGATTGTTGCGAAGGTGAAATGAGATAGTAAGGCTTTAGCATCCTAGATTTAGAGTCAAGAAGGTACCTCAAAGGTCATCTCATTTAACCCCCTTATTTAACCCAGAGAAGTCCAGTCGCTTGCCTGTGGTCATACAGGTGACCAAGCTGGGATTTCAACCTGTGTTTGCTGACTGCACATTGAATATTCTTTCCATTGTAACAGAAGAAAAAAGTGTTTTCAGGAAATTAAAAGTTTTTTTGTAAAGGTCCTGGACTGCTGTTACTTATTATGCCTCAGCTCTTGTACCTCCTTGTTTCAGGGTTTAAAATCTGGCGCAAGGTAAAGGAAAGGCCACTTGTGGGAGGGGTATAGAGAAGGAAATGTTACTGTTGAAACTTCTGGACAGTCCCCAAGATAAAGGAGCATCTCAGTGTCTCCAGATAAGCAGCCCTTAGCTTCTGGTTTGCAAGAGAGCTCAAGCCCATCTGTCTGTCTGTCTGTCTCTCTGTCCTGGGTTCTTTTCCATTCTTCCCCCTAAACTGAAATGGCTTTTCCTCTCTTGGCTTCATAGGTGTCCATGGGTTGGCCCTATTCCCTCTGCCATTTCCCCTAGTTAGGAAAGGCATAGGATTACTACTACAATTTGGGGACCCTGTCTGGCCTTATTTCCACCAGAACCTAAGGTCTTCTTTACTCCCTGCCATTCCCAATACCATTAGACCACCAGTTGTGAGTACCTTATGATGGAGAAAGGTGGAGAGGGGAGTCTTGGGCACGGCCTCCCCTCTGTCCTAAGCGAACTAGCACTAATCTATGTCCGTGTTTCCCTTACAGGAAGCTACACAGCGGGATGAAGACTTATGGGTGTGAACTGTGTGGGAAGCGGTTCCTAGATAGTTTACGACTGAGAATGCACTTACTGGCTCATTCAGGTAAGTGGGGATGCCTTAGTCGGTCCGTCTTGGGCTACGGGCCGTCAGCCACGTGGTCCATCTACTCTTCTTCCTGTTCTCCAGCCTTGGTCTGGGTACATGTAGGTCCTTAGACCAGAACCACTACTTTCTTGATTCCCAGTCTGGGATTCCGTCAGTCCAGCTTGTCTCATTAGAATCTTAGTTCTTGTCAGTATGGAATCTTCTGTGTGAAATGCTGGGGTGTGTTGTGGCTCTCTGTGAGTCTTTTTTTAGGGAGAACAAAGGAACCCCATGCCTTTTCCTGACCATGCCAAGTTACCGAGAAGACACCTAATGACATTCTCCCTCCTCCTGCTTGACAAAGGGCACCCTCCGCCAGTTCATTTCTCGTCCCTGTGGGGCTGCAGATGCCTTGGACTCTGCCTGCCATACCTTCTGGGGGTGCACTGCAGTTTCATTAGCAGAACAGTTAAAGAATTAGGTCCTTTCTATCTAATGAATCTGGCTATTTGGTTCAAGTTTTATGGGGGCCTTTCATTAAATAGATAGAGAAAAGTTGAATATTAAACTACCTTTTACAAGTTAATTTTGTCTGCTTCCAGTTGTGGGAAAACAGGCCTGATGTTGGCTGTGTTACTTGTTCAGATATTTGGAAAGAGGGTTATTCTGTACCAGGAGGAAAAGAGAGAAGAAGATGTAGACACTTATTATCTAGTAGGGATACATTTTCCCCTGGTAGAATGAGAATTTGCACAGTAAACTGAATTCATCTTTCCTTGGTTCCCCTGCACTCCACATTGTTTTCTCCTCACCCAATCCAGGTGTATAACGCTGAAATTCATTTTTTTTTCTTCCTTTGCTCCCACATCTAGTCCATTAATAAAACCTGCCATTTTTTCCCTCCATAATGCCTTGTGAATCTCTGTCCCTGCCTCTCCAGTGCATGTCCCTATTCCTTTGCTGAAACAACCTCAGCATAATACTTTTTTTCCCTTTAGTCTGTCCACAACTATTAAAATCATCTTCTTTTGTAAAGCCTTCCCTGATTCTCCCAGCTGGAAGTGATCTCTTGGGCCTCAGTTTGGCTTTTTCTGTGTGCTTATATTTTAAGTTATATAGTAATAATAATAACAGCTGACATTTTAGTGCTTTAAGATTTGCAGAACACTTTAAAAGTATTAGCTCGTTTGGTGCTCACGACAACCCTGGGAGGTTAGTGTTTTTGTCATTCCCCACTGTACAGATCAGGAAACTGAGGCAGGCAGATTAAGTGATATGTCCAGGGTCACACAGCTGCTCAGTGTCTGAGGCTGGATTTGAGCTTGGGTCTTCCTGACTCCAAGTCCAGGAAGGACCACACCTACCAAGCCCCATGATTATCATTCTTGTCTTATCGTCCACTAGGATTGTAAGCTCCATGAAGGCATTGATCACAACTAGCAAGGTAGCTTGTGTATGTAAGTAAGTAGTTGCTTAATAAATGTTGATTGAATTGAATTGAATTCCCTAAACATCATTTTTAGTGTTCTTACCTTACTAGAGAGCTGATAGGGTTTCTACGTTGTTAGCAGATAAAACAGTTTAACCTCTACTTCAAGGCCTTCTATTAGCTGTTCCAGACTCTTTTTTCCATAACAATACTGCACACTTGTATAGCTATTTATAATTTACAAAGTACTTTTCAGACAGAGAGATGGTTTTGGAGCCAAGAAAGACCAGGGATCATGCCCTGCCTCTGACACATACCAGCTGCGGGACCCTGGGCAAAGTTATTTCTTATCTCTATGGTTGAGGCTACTCTCTAAGACTGTAAGTTGCAGAAAAAGCATCAACTCGCAACCCTCCTGGTGCAGGAAGTTTTCATTATCTGGAAGTGTTCTATATTAATAAAAGCAAAATTTAAAATGGAAGCTCTGGGAGCACCTCATGAGTAGGTGTGGCAGAGGGATGAGGAGGTTCTAGGTACCTCAGTTTCCATGTGGAAGATCCAGGATGAGATGGAAACTGAAGCATGGTGTTAAAATCAGAAAAGATAGAGTCAAGAGGGGAAATTCCATTTCTTCAGCGTCTTTTTATCTGTCCCTCCTTTCTGCCATCACTGTGATTTGTACTAGAGTACTAGACATTGAGCATATGGCCATTGGTTGACTGAAAGAGGTAGCAGGAAAATCAGTAGGTTAGTTTCAAGTATATTCCTTATTAAAAAAAAAAAACAGATCAGATAATGTACTGCTATAATACTGTATGTTAAAAAAAAAAAGTTCACTTGGTTAGAAATTCATTAACCTGAGAGAAGAAAGCATGATGGAGAATATCTGATCAAAGGTCAAAAAATAGCAGGAGAAATAGAAGTCATGATGTGGTAGGAGTTTACTCTAGTCTGCCTGACCAGTTGGAAACTATTGATAATGTGTGCTTGACATAAATAGGCAAATGGTCATAGAAGCTTAATGCTGTTTTTGTGAGTAACCTCAACTATATGAATATCTGCTTCAGACTCTTTGCTTAAAAAAAAAATTAATTATTTTGTTTCTGACTTCTTGATAATTTGGTCTTTTAGAAGGTTGAGGGAAGTTGCTTAGGGAACCACCGTTCCAGACCTGATACTGACCTGATTGGATGTGGTGGAAATAATAGGAAGCTTAGGAGAAGGTTCTATCTTAGAGTTCAAGGCAGATAAGGAAGGGAACCTGAGGTTGGGCCTTGGCTTTAGAAAAATGCAGAAAATTCAGAGAAAGGAGATAAGGTCATATGATCAGATATTTTAGAAGGAAAATCAGCTGAAGAGGAAGACTCTCGAGAAGAATTCTGATTATGAAGTAAAAAATGAATGAAAAACGGAGCATTATTGAAAAAGATTGATACCAGCACACAAGGGGTTCTCTGAAGAGTTCAGATTTCATAGGATCATAGGATTTTAAGGCTAGAAGGAACCTTAGAAATCATCTAGTCCAACTCCTCATTTTATAGATAATTTTAAAAGGTTATCTTCAAAGATTGTTGTTGTTTTTCGGTCATGACCCCTTTTGGGAGTCTTCTTAGAAAAGAAGCTGAATTGGTTTAGCCATTTCCTTCTCCAGCTTAGTTTACAGATGAGGAAACTGAGGCAAGCAAGGTTAAGTGACTTGCCCAAGGTCATACAGCTAGTAAGTGTCTGAGGTTAGATTTGAACTTAGGAAAACGAGTCTTCCTGATTCCAGGCCCAGCATTCTATCCATATCGCCACCTAGCTGATCATTCAAAAGATTAAAGCAAATGCAAGTAACCAAGGACTGACAGAAAAGAGGGTCATGAACCTCTGATATTAATTTAAAAAAAATTGTTGATGACAGAGTGAAGATGTTTGTTGTTTTCATCAGTGTGGAATAATTGGTGAGGAAATTCCACATACTAATGAATGAATGGAGAAAAAAGCATTGATTAGGCACTTTCTATGTGCAAAGCATTGTGCTCTATGCTAAGGATACAAATAGAAAGATGGCGGCAGCCCCTTCTCTCAAGTAGCTCACATTCTAATGGGGGAGACAACACATATAGGCAGATTCAGGAGTCGGATGGAAATGTCCCTTGGTCTGTAGGGTACAGTGGCAAAGCAGATAGAAATGCATCCCTAAAGTTGTTTCTATTGATGAAATCTTATGTTTCTGATTTTGAACCATTTGACACAATGCCAAAGACTTTGGTGTTGAGAACTTTCTTTTCTGGGGTGTAGGAGGCAGGGTCATTAACACATATAGAAGCTGTTGCCACAGTGCCTCTCCCTAGGGGTTGCTTCCTGGGGTGATGGCCAGGGTGAAAGCAGGGTGAGTGGTCTGCAAATTACAGTCTTAGAGTTGCTTGGGGTGACTTGCTCCAGGTTACATAGCCAGTATATATCAGAGGCAGCTCTTGGACCCCAGTCTGCTAAATCCAAGGGTATTCATCCACACACTATGCCAGGCTTGTCAAACCAGTTGGGATGAATGGAATAATGGTAACAGAAGGACAGAACAAAAGCAGTTTAATTCAGCAAAAGTCTCTTAAGTACCTACTATGTGACAACACTAAAGACGCAAATATAGATAGGAAATATAGATTTTGTATTGTAAAATATAGATTTTACAATCCAGGGGGTAGAGGAGGAGATTTGGAAAGGTACATAGATAACTGCTAAAAAGGGAGGGTGTCATAAGTGAAAAGAAGACAAACCAGTTGCAGTGAGAAATTTGTGAAGGGAGCAATTGCTTTCACATGGGGGGGGGGTTGTGGAGGGATGGGTCAGGGAAAGAAAGCTTCATGAAAGAGGTAGCATCTGAGAATCTAAAAATAGAATCTCATATTTTAGCTTCTGTTTTCTCTCTCAAGGAGAAAATGAGAAAGATCTTCAAACTAGAGAGGGTAGAACAGAGAGTTGAGAGAATTGAAACCCAGGATAGAGTGAAAAGCTAGTAAGAGAGCTCTTAGCTACCATTAATGAGTTCAAGTCTCCTAGCTCAGGTGACTCAAAACATTTCTGGGTAGTGGGAAAAATGTGTAGAGGTAATTGGTGAACCACTATTATTAATCTTTGAGGAATCATGCAGAGTACCCTAAGAGCAAAAATCCTCGATTTTCAAAGAAGGCAGGAATATAGATACTTAAACTCTATATGCCAGTGAACTTGAATTCAATTCCTAGAAAAAAAAATTCTAGAAATGGATTATTAAAAGGGTGGTTTGTGAACACTTAGAAAGGGAAAATGGTGTTCCCAATGAGCTACAATGAGTTTGTTGGGTTATTCTGGTATGACTTGTAACTGTCTAAAAGAAAAATAAAAAATAAAACTGGAGGATTAAAGGAATACCATAGATATCCGTAGCTGAATTTCAGTGAGGCATTTGATAGTCTTTCATGATATCTTTATGTAAGAAGATAGAGAAGGGTGGCTTAGATGATAATACAAGTAAGTGGATTAATTCCTGGGGGACTCAGTTTTTATTAGTGGATCATTGTCAACAGAGGAGGTCTGTAGGGGAATAAGTACCCGAGGGTTTTATCCT